GTGACAGCAGTTTGATAAATAGCTTGTGAATTTCCAGATCTTTGGATTTTCAATTACCAGATGAGTTTGTTTATCCTAGATGATGGCAGTTGTTTTCTGTCTGGGTTTAACATTATCAAGGTCGGTTTTGTTGGAGCAATGTACGGTATTATCATCTACATCAATCGGGGAGGCCCATAAAACTAAAGTTATTTATTAATCTCACTATCATTGTTAATTTACATATATAGACAAGTGTAAACTGAGAACAGACTTTTCAAGGTAGAGTGAACCAAGTGAGTATTGGTCACCAAATCCGGGAGGAGAATAACAAGAGAAGAGCACTTGTAGCCAAGGTGTTTATTGCTCAACTGCTAGGCCTGGAACCGAGTCTAAATACTCACCAGATGTTCCATACAATGTATCAATATCATTATACAAATATAAACGTTATACAGTCAAACCTGTGTTAATGGCCACCTGGATACAGCGGCCACCTGCCTATAGCGGTCACAACAGAACAGTCCCTACGAATTTTACATGTAAAGTACCCTGTTTATAGCGACCACCTGCCTAACGCGACCAACAGCCACGCTTCAGCGGCCGCAGTGATCAGTTGAACTGCATATAACGAACATAGTTCCCGGATGTCTTGCAGACTACTGCCTTACATCTCAGACAACTAATAAGCTCACAAAAGACAAAGTTAGCACGTTTTCACACCTTTCATTCAACCGATGGCTTCGGCAATTATGTTTTATTCTTGTTTATAATTCAGTTTACCACGGCAAGCACACTGTACCGGTGGAACGCCAAAATCATAATTAAGAATTTGAAAGTGTCGTGATAAAAAAACATGCTGTCATTGATGTTTTGTTGAAATATGTATACCATGGGAATAACTTACAATTTTGTTCAATGAATGAATGGAGCAACCACAACGATGACGACCCACAAAAGTTTTGCGAGTCACCGGGACACAGTCACGGTCCCTATGCATGTGGCTGGGGTGAATCAGAATGTCGACGGTAAATCCCAGATCGAATTGATTACCAACAAAAAAACATAACAACTCACTTGTTATTTAGTATCGATATTTATTCACTTTGAACTCCTATAAATATCGATAAATACGCATGTAACTGGAACTGATATCAAAAAGGAAAAAAATCAACGCAATGGCCATGCCTGTTGTTTATCCATCCAAATAAATTATGCTAATTAGCCTTGCGCATGTGCGTTCTTGTTCTTCCGGGGTTATGATAACTCAGGTCAAAAAGTAGAGTCGCTTCCGTTACTGCCTATTGATCACTGTGAGGGAATGTGTGTGCAGTATCGTCTCGTTGTCCAACTAAATTCATTCAACTATTTTGTTTTCTCGGTTGCTACTGCTTCGGTACATTTAACAATAGATGCTTTTAACAATGATGCCAGTTCAATGGCCAAAGTCGCCAGGCATATTTCATATGTTTCTATTGTTGCATCAGTACAATAACATGGAAGTCGCACAGATTCGATTGCGCAAAGTAATGTTTTGATTAGGGATCAACCATTTCGTAAGTGAGGTACGTCGAGAAGATTTTTGAAAAAAAAATGAACAAAATGTTAAGGAAATTGTGATTGGGGAGGAAACTTTCAAGTTGTCACGTAACTGGAAGAAGATCCATCACTACAATTAATAAGTGTTCTTTTCGTATACGTTGTAGGGATCAATAAAGCACTGCTAACTGTCCCTCTCCCTTCTCATTGAAAGAATTTGCTATAGCCCAGAGACACTCAGATTTATTACAACAGTTACCAGACACAATAGATATTAATTAAAAGAAACATACAAATTCAGAATAGCTAAGCAAAGCAAGCTGAGTGATTTCTTTAGTAGGAAATGAGACTAAAACTGTTGCTGAACATGAACTTTACTGTACAAATCTTAAAATATTTAACTTTTATACTACTCATTATTGTGCAATGATCGATTTAGTTAAATTAGTGAACCTGTATAGAAAGGCAACCTGTCTATAAAGGCCAACATTTCAAAGTCCCTTGGGTGGCCGCTATAGACAGGTTTGACTGTAGCCTCAAATCATTACAACAAGGTTGTATTGGAATGATTAAAATTGTCTTTCATTTCACAGGTTTCTTCTTTGGTCGCACTTCCCTTATTAAGCTGTCTCCTAAAAAAACATGGGAGGGTTTCATTGGAGCATTTTTCTCTACTGTACTCTATGCTTTTGCTGTAAGTATTCTGCTTTTCATTCTCAATAACAAACCCAATAATAAGTCTTGATGGTTTTGTCCGTGAGTATTGTGTTATTCTATCAGCAAATATGTCTTATAGCTAGAGATTAAGAACAACACATAATTTCCACTGTGCTGTTTTTTGCAGTCTTTACATCATCTTTGCATTAATATCTGTGTTTTATTTTTTCAATAGATGGCGTATTTTCTGGCTCCATACCAACATTTTGTATGCCCAGCAAATGTGAGTAACTATACGTAACTTAAATATCGTATGAAACAGGTAAAAAGTAGAACATCTGGGTAGCAGTAATATAAAAGTAGTAATAACAGGGGGTATGCACATTTTCATTTCTCCATTTCTTTGTGTTTTGAGGCAATTATGTGACATTTCATGGTGTAATGAAATTATTGGAGTAAGCAGACGATATTTATGCGTTTTTCAAAATGTTGGTACAAAATCTGCAAAAAAAATGGGCTATCTTTTTTTTTTGTATTCAGAAGTAGAAATGTTCACCATCATCACCGGATGTGCTGAAAATCATTGATATTTGAAAGTTAATGAAAAAATATTACATTCATAATTCACACATATTCATATCACCAAATATCTCTCATAATTCTCCCAAAACGGCAATCCAGTACTCGCTCTCAGAGTATCATTTCAGAATGTTTCAAACAATAGCACTATGGACTGTGAACCATCATGACGAATAGAAAGAAAGGGCAGGGCATCTGAAGTTTCACTATGTTATTTGTTTGTTTCCAGTATGATGATGACTTGAAGCGTATTACTATGGACTGTGAACCATCATCCACATTTATCATGACGGAATATAATATACCAGTCATAATACGAGCAATTCTTGGACTGGTAAGCTACATGTACATATACTTTCAGATTAACGTTTGACATGTCCTGGTTTCCCCTTAACTATGTGTCACATACTCCACCACTTATATTTGCCATTTCAATAATTACGTAAACTAGTATACAACTTACTTTTATTGTGGTATAAACAAACATTGAACTTGAACCCCCCCCCCCCCCCCCAAACAGTTTGTTTTCCATGCAACTTGTTCTGGGCTACTATGGGTTCAAATAAACCACAAACTCTATCAGGTCATAGATCAAAGTTTGTTCAAATGTTGTGACAGGATATTGATGTATGTGTCAGTCTACACTGCTGCTGTATTTATGGTGAAATGTCTAATGGGGCAGTGTCTTGCGAGATATTACATGGTTCAGCAGAGCTCGTCTCAGATAATATTGTATATTCTATAAAAAGTATGTATCATGAGGTGATCATCTGTATAACAATAACAATAAGTTGTAAATGGTAAGCCCATGCCTTGCCCAAAGTTATGTTTACAAAAATGAATATACTGCTTTTCAAAGCAAAAATTTTAAAATCCAAGTTCTTGTTTAAAATTTGTTTTTATTATTATTCGAATAATGTACTGAATGAAACGTCATTCTTAAAATTACTGGTTGTCATGACATTTTTTCTGCTATAAATTTACTAAAAACTTTTCTCAGCTCAGGAACGTCAATTGGATAGGTCAGAAATATAAAAATAAATTGAAGTAAAACCAGCAGTAAATAAGCACTCTGGCTGTGATCATGCAAACAGTAATCATTAAAGCGTCACATGATTTGAAACCTTCTAAATTTACTCTATGCATGGTCTTGTCAGAGGCTGGAAATCCCCTATTGAATGCTGGGTAATTCAGCTGCAATCGTTACACATTGCTATGCCTTATACTGCAAACCGTGGAGGCTGGAAAGCCTCGCTCTGCTAAATTGTAGGTCAAAAGGACAACATTTTGTGAAAATCATTGTGGCGCTCTTGTGGAATGTGCACTATTACAATATTTTAATATATTTGTCTTTACTTTAGTTTGGAATACATCAAAGTACTATCTGGTTGTACCCGATTCAAATTCATGCCTTGGCATTGGCAACGTTTGCTTCGCTGGTCAGTCCATTTGGTGGATTCTTTGCAAGTGGATTCAAAAGAGCTTTCAAAATAAAAGTAAGTAATTTCAACATTCTAGATAGATAAACAAAGAAACCAAGACTCGACATAACAGTATGGTAATGGACTTATGGATACAATTCAATCACTTGTTAAGTTTCTGTCTCAGCTGAAAAATTAGATTTAAAACATGTATTATTATATAAGACATAACCACCTCATAGACGCTATTGCTTGTGTAATTATCATGGTATACTCGCTTCTGGTGGTTATTGCTATTATATTACATCAATTTCATTTTAAAGGTAATTCTGAGACACAGAAATAACTTTAAAGCACCAAACACCATATTCAAATGTGATACAGCATCTGAAACGTGGTAAAATGAAATTTGTTCTGGAACTATCGTACTGTTAATATAGAAACATCGCACCCTTATTTGGCGTAGTCAGGTTTAATTCTTGTAATTTTTCCTTAGCAAATGATGTTGGTATATGTAAAATCGTTTCAATCAATTAGCGCCATAATTTTTAGATTCACAATCTCGTCACTTAAGATGGCAATCAATATTTTTGGTGCTGTTTGCGTAAGTCTGAAAACTACCTGAGGGTCCAATGTTCCTTATTACGCACTATGTCCGTCATGCAAAATAATGTTTTTGTCAGTTTCAGTTGACAGTAGGAATTAACTTTATTGTGTGATATTCATGTTTGGGGCCTAATACTAAACTCAGAAAACAGTGTCAGGGTTTTAGAAAAACATGCATAAATTAAAACTACTTCTCATTGAGTACCGTAACAATCATGCATCTACACACATGACACACTGGTGAGATATAATATAGAATATTCATTGATTTAAGGGTTTAGGTAGCGAATGATAACTTAGAATTCATTCTGATTATTATTGCTGGATTCATTTTACAGGATTTTGGCGATGTATTACCTGGTCATGGTGGAATCATGGACAGATTTGACTGTCAGTATCTAATGGCTTCATTTCTTCATGTGTATTTAAGCAGTTTTATCAGGTAAGAGTAATGTCTTTTTAAAAACCTGCTGTATATAATGAGCGTTTTAGGTATTCCTATAAGATGCTTGTAGATAAACTTTTAGTGAGGATTGCATTACTTACGGGCACCGAAATGAACTGTACATGTACTGAGCAATGTAACTATGCAAAATTGTTTTGTAAAATTTATTCTATTAGGAGAAAACTAAATAATCTGTTGTTGCGCTGGACAATAACACTTCCACTAAAGGTCAACTTTTATGTTTCTTTTTATTATTCAAATTCCAAATTTAAATCTTTGTTGATTTTGTTGACCCTCCTACAACAACAACTCTAGGCAAAAGTGGTCCATGGTGCGAATATTGTGCCTTTAAATCAAAAAAATTCATAGTATTCAATCGGGTTGTAATAGGGTGTGAGACATTCCTTGGTTTGCGGTGATCACTAACTGTCTGACTTTGATCAAATAATGAAACATGTTTCTGATTCATAGATTTTTTTTATCAATCTTTGATACTTTTGCATATTGGAACCTAATAATCTGTTCATGGAGGTAAAAATAGAAGGAATCACCGCCAATCCAAGTACAATGGATCAAGGGATGGTCTGAGCTGTTTACTTACTGATAACACGTTCCATTATATATAAAAATTTAAAATTTTGTCTTGTACGCTTTGAAATCAGTATGAAATCTTCAAAATGTCAAAAACTCTCTGAAAAACTGAAAAGAAAAACTACACCATTGTCTCTGAGTGAGGGCTGTTCATTGCACATATTTATACTCCTCTGATTTGTTATTCAGTGGCTATGGAATATAATGCTAATACAAGTATGTGATTGCATCAAAGCAAACTGTGTAGACCATCCCGGACATGAAAGGATAATTTTAACAAAGGATGTCCAAAGATTAACTGGGCTTAAAACAAACACTAAGATCAATCTACAGGAGCACTAATAGATTATATTTATAATAAATAAAAAAAAAATCTATAGCGTAATTGGGAAAAATATTTCATGACCTCATTAAATAATCATGATTTAATTGAAATTGACAACTTTTTGGTCTAAAAAAGAATTTGAGGTTGGTACAATCTGTCACTATCAAGTATTAAAATTGCAAATTTACTTTGAAAATATGATGAATAATACAAAGTTGATATTGTTATCAAAATATATAAACTTACTGATATGTAATACTGTAAAATACTTTATTTTAGCTGGAATTAATTTTCGCTGAAAAGACCTTTTGGGTGTTTTGTATGGAATTTATTTTCACTGATTTTTGGCACATTGAATGTAAAATATAGGAAAAAAGGTATATTCTCTGGATTTTATTTTTACTGAATCATTCCTTCAGCGAAAATTGATTCCAAATAAAGTATTTTACAGTATTTGAACATTTGGGTGAATAGACTCCTGAAAGCCTCAACTGATAGCTACGGATTGACGATATCTTTTGCCTTGGAGTCATATGTTTATTATTCACAGTTGTGTTGTGCAATGTAAAAATGACCAGTCGTAACTATAAAGAACTGCAACTATATAGATAGAAGTTTGGAAAACATAATCAAAATAATCATTTCTCTTCTCATCTTTTTCTCAGGACAGCAAACCCCGCCAAATTACTGCAGCAGGTGTTGCAGCTGAATCCAGACCAACAATTGAATGTTTTCTTACAGTTTCAAGAACATCTCATCAAAAACGGTTTGCTGAAAGCCTGAACACTGGCAGATCGATTGAACTTGTCTTGTATCTGCCACCCCTCCAAGTATAATAAAGTGTCCCAAAGGAGGTGAAATAAGCCAGCCAGCAATAGACTGTGAGTTCAGGGATGGGGTCAAAACATTACAATACACTATTAAAAGATGTATTATTTAAAAATCACTGATTATATTCCAAAATTTAATTTAATTTGTTATTCACAAAGTTGTTTATAGGATGAATTTTACTATTATGTGCAGTATTCTTGTCATACATGATCTTTCAAATATATTTGTTTGTGTATTCATTAATCATGAAGTCATTTGCATGCGTCCAGGTTTGTTGGGTAAATATAAAATGAGACTACCTAGTAAATATATTACGGCAGTTTTGGATCACTGTGCAAATTAGATATAATTTTTTTTGTTTTGTTAAATGCCAAATTTCTCAATTATTGTTTGTGTATAAATCAATGATTCTGTTGTCATGGTAATAAAAGTTTGGTTTATTCAGGTTTTCAGCAATAAATAGTTTATAGACAACAATATTATAGTAAATTACTACAACTTTAAAACAAAATATCATAATTTGCCGAAGATGTCCACAAAACAGCATTATTTTGCTCTAATTCTCAAAAACTGGATATCAACAACTTTTTTTTTTACCTCAAAGTATTTAATAATATCTGTCCATTTCTGTATGCTACTATACAGTTGTTCTTTTGTTTTCACTATATTATGCACACTACCTGCTATATGCAGTTCAAAGCATGGCCTATTGCCACACTATTGTACATAATTGCGACTAAAAACATGTTCTATGACCAAGCATACACATAATTTTTACAATTGTTTGAATTCATAGCTTGCCTTCAAATGGCAGATCTCTAAAAACTGGCTGCTATCAATGTATATGAGTAGTTATGACAATAGTCATGAATGAAGTTCTGATCCTTATGTAATTATGTAAGCTGATGTAATTGAAGTGCGCCCTCACATGTTTTGTTTCAAAATAAAAATGAAACAGTAAATGGTATCAAAAGTCATATTTTTGATGGCTAGATATTTGGTGATTTAACTTTTCACCTCCAGACATTTTCACCCAAATTTTTCTGCACTTTCATCTTATATTTTTCAATATTTCTGGAAATGAACCCTAATATTTAAAAAAAAATTGGCTATTTTTGTTACAATCTTCAGAAGGAAAGTGCAGACTATAAACAAGCCTATTTTGTAAACTTGCGATGAAAAGAGGGAACTGGTGGTGAAAAAGCAAAGACTTACAATACTGTCTGAATTTGATCAACTTGAACTTGCACTGACTCATCTTCATTTCATTGCTGTTAGCAGAGATAACCAACCCTAGCTAAGCTTGGTATTTATTCTACTATGACAATCAAAATAAATATGGTAATCATATTTTTAATTTTTCATCATTTTCCATCCAATCAACTTTTATATTTTCATATAGCTAGCGATTTTCTCTTACATTTGTTGATTTCATGACATAATGTTTAATCATTATTATTAACTG